CAATAGAAAAAGACATAATAGTGATGTTACAATTACCAGAAGAGGAATTTTGGTGTTGTTTGTTTGGTTTTGGTACCTAGGATAGCACTCACAACCTAGCACTTGCAGGGCGCTTATGAGACTCAGCTAAATCCTAGGCCATGGGAAGAAGAATTTTAAGCAAGGTTGCTTAATATGTGAAAAAGGAGGGGCTGGGAATTTAGCTCAGCGGCATAAGCACCTGCCTTGCAAGCAGGCGGTTGTGAGTTCAATCCCCAGTACCAATTAAAAAAAAAAAAAAAACTGTGAAGAAGGAATGAAGCAGATAACCGGGAAATACATACTCAATAACTGACATAAATACTAGGAGAACAGCAGAGCAACAACAATCTTACTTTTTAAAAACATTATTAGTTTTAACACTCATTTTTTCTAAAACCCATAAAAGCTGATATGCAAGGATCAATAGGCTACACAGAATAAAACCCAGTTAAGGAAGAATCACCTTATAGGAGGACTCTTATGCTTTTAGAGTTGGCTGTTATAGGAAACATCACAGATAAGCCTAGTGAGTTCCTATTTGTGTGTAAATTAGTTTATTACAAAAAAATACGTGGGGGCTGGGGATTTAGCTCAGCGGCATAAGCGCCTGCCTTACAAGCAGGCAGTCGTGAGTTCAATCCCCGGTACCGATAAAAAGGAAAAAGACAAAAAAAAAAAAAAAAAAAAAATACGTGGTATGCCTTGGAATACTAGAAAATTATGTAAGGAAAAAAAGGGTGAAATTACCTTACACTTTCAGGTTTATGTTTTTTTTTTTTTACAGTGCTACAGACAGAACCCAGAGCCTTATACATTGTAGTCAAGTAGTCCACCACAGAGTTACATTCCTAATGCTCAACCTCGAGTTTCACTAGACAAATAAAATTACTATTAAAGTGTTGGTATATTATCTTTTAATGGTTTTTACTCTACATATTTTCCATAGCTTGTTATATGTACTATTTTATATTGAGTCTTTCAATATAACATTATTTTTTGTTTTTAAATGACATAATTATTGTACATGTTCATGTGGCAGAGAGCCAAAATTATTATAGATTTATACAAAACATGGTAGTTAGCATTTCTACCTGCGTTAGTTAGCTTTCAATTATTATTTATGATTAACACTTTAAGAGATCAGATTTAGTTTGATTCATGGGTGTTTGGATGCAATCCATGACAGATTGTCCCCACTGCTTTTGTGCCTGTGGTGAGGAAGCACATTATGGCAGGAGAGAGTCGCGGAACAAACCTGCTCACTACCAGGTCAGGGAGCAAAAGAGTGAGGAGGGGCCAGGATGTCAAAATCCACTTAGAGACCACAAGAACCAAGGCCTAAGGAGCACCAAGTAGGCGATGGCTGCCACAGGCTCTGCCAATAGCTCCCTGCTGAGAATGTAGCCTTTTGAACTTGTGATGGTTAATTAATTAATTAACCAACAGTCCACTTGAGTGGGGAATGCCCAGCTGGACTGAATCAACATGGTTCTGGGCATGAAAGACTTACTTTAAGGAGAACTGATTCAGAATGGTATAGGATGGAAAATGGGAAGGAAGGATTTCAGCTATCTTCCTTGGAGGAGCTTCTCTGGGATCTGCTTCTTGTCAGAGCAGTTTCTACAATTTTTTGTTTGTTTGTTTTGTAAAGAGGTTTGTCTATTTCCTCACTTCAGATGAGCTTCAATCCTTGTCTTCATCTTAGATGTCACCTTCTGGCTTCCAGTGAAGATCCCTAAGTGCCCCTCAGGCAAGCACAAAGTCAGGAGCTTGATCTCTGGTACCAAAAGAAAAAAAAAAAAAAAAGACTGAGGAATTATGAAATTTAGTAACATTAAATTCTCTTAAGTGTACTAAATTAAGAAGAAACCTAAAGCCACTCTCTTTGAGGTATGTTGTTATCATGGGGGAAAATGTCACTCACAAATATTTAGATAGGTACTAAGTGAAAAGCAACAGATTTTGATATCACATTGCATCATCATCTTTTCAGCACTATTCCTTCAAACAAATGCTCTTGCAATTATATTTGAGTGCTACTAAAGTACTAAGTGAAAAGCAACAGATTTTGATATCACATTGCATCATCATCTTTTCAGCACTATTCCTTCAAACAAATGCTCTTGCAATTATATTTGATTGCTACTAAAGTAAAAAATCATATGCATATATCAGCATAAAAAATATACATATATTTTTTAATTTTCAGAATAATAGCATATCAATTATTTGAAATGCTCTTTTAATTACATATATTTGTGACATTGGTCCATATCAGCTAATCTTTATCTTCATGGCTCAATATTTTCCATTTTGTCTATACCACATTATTTAAGCAGTTCTCTTTCAATGCATATGTCATTTGTTAATATCATATCACAAACATTTAAAGATATTTCATGTGTGTATAACACAAAGAAACACACACACCCTCTTATGCAGGAAGAATTATGTCATTCCTAGCAATGGTATTGCCAATTAAAGGGATAATTCCATTGCTTAAAGTTTGAAATACTTTGATAATAATAATTTTTAAATTATTTAATTATTTTTCTAATAATTTTTTGAAAAACTTGCCTGTTTCCACACAGTCCCTGCTTGTGAGCAAGTTAGAGCTTCCCTGGAAAGCAGACTCAGGTCACTCAGGCCACTCACATGGTAGCTGAATAACAGTAACAATTATAGCAAACAAAGTAGAAGTTACAGTGTCATTTCTGACACAGCCTCTAAAACAGGGAGCACTGTGACTTTCACGGAGATCAGCTCAGACACAACCACAAGAGGCAAGGACACCATCTCCTGATGTGCAGAGTCACAGTCACACTCAGGTTGTCATACAGGAAGGGAGACATGGCCCCAGATATTTAAAAAAAAAATTCCCATTCTCCAGTGGGTTTAAATAAATTTATACATGTGAATTACAATACCTATTTCCCACATCCTTTGAAAATCTAATTAAAAATGATTACATCATTACTAATTTGATGTACCTTTGTATATCTTTAACACTGAACAAGTTGTCCTACATTGATCAGCCCCTTAGATTTCCATACATAGATAGAATCTGACCATTTATGAACTTTTATGGGATGATTCTTAATTTTCAGATCAATTTGAAAGGAAATAAAATCATATCTCTCATTGCAATTGTAAATATGCTTTGAAAGGAAATAAAATCATCCCTCTCATTGTGATTGGTCTTTGACCTTAGAACTGTATATATCTTCATCATACTATAATTTATCATCTACATTCACATTTATCAATATTTTCTGTTACACCTCTGACATTAGACTTTGACTAAAAAAGATCACCTTTGCTCCACCACTATTTTTAGTATTCTGTAATGCTCTCTAGGGTTTGGTCTTTTTACCTCATAATCAGCTCCATATAATGTTATATGAACCCATTGACATCGAATAGTTTGCTCTCTCTTGAAATATCCCTTAGTCAGTACATAATAACTTTTATGTATTGTTTCATTCTAGTTGCTAATACTTTATCTGAGCTGAAGCATTTACACCAATGGCAGGTTGCTTATGACTCTGCAGAATTTACCCATATGTGGTTTTCTATTTCATTTCTGGTAATTTCCCACATCTGTGACTCCATTTCTGATGTGTTAGAATTCTGGTTGAGATAGTATCTTAAAAATCTTTATGTGACAATATATTACAGTAGTGACTTATATGTGTATTCCTGAGACATTTTCATAATTTGCATGTAAATTAGCCTAGGACTCTTCTTCCTAATACTAAATATGTATTAGATCACATTTCACACTTTTCTGCCTGTAACATGTTTAGAAATATAAAGTGGTAATAAAGTGGCTTTTCTAAGATTTCCTTTTTCTCTTGCTTTTGTGAAACTTGAAAATACTGAGCAGCTTGTTATCTGAACTGTTTAGTCCCTAGAGCAGAGATGGTGAATTTTTTACAGACAAGTACCCAAACTGCAACCCACAACTCATTTATTTATCACAAAGAATCAACAGTGCAATTAAAGCTGAATATTGAGGTTTTAGTTTAGAATAAACCTAAAACCTTTTATCTTAAAAGAAAAAGAAACCATATGTGCCATAAGTTCACCAATGCTGCCCTAAAATGATCTTTCCTTGTGCCCATTATTTCTGCAGTGCTCAAATTTGATTGCATCCACAACAGCTTCTTCTCAATGCCTAAAAGAAGTACTGGCTGGTTGGTTTCACAATTTCTCATTCCAAGGACTCTCATAATTTTACAATCAACAGCCCACCTAATGATAACATGCAAAACCTACCCACGGTCTGCTGCAATTCTGTCAGTACATTCACAGTTAATATTTCTTGGTCATTTGGGGCTCTTTGGTTCTCAAGTTCTTTGTTGTCCTTTCTTTAATCCCAGGCGCTCTCTCTCTCTCTCTCTCTCTCTCTCTCTCTCTCTCTCTCTTTCTCTCTCTCTTCCCTCTCCTCTCTCTCTCTCCCTCTCTCTCTGTGTCTCTCTCTTTTTGCCATATAACTCTACATGTAAACATTACAAATCTTCAATATGTATATCTCTTCTCTCACGTATATTATACAAAGTAGAGCTTAAAATTCTGTCATATATTTCTTTTAATGAGAAATCTAAAACATACATAAATAAATGAATTAAATGAAGACAAAATAATATGAACCTAAAAGGGAAACTCTTGGAAATAACAAAGGGGTTCAGATGAGGGGAAGGCAAAAGATAGAAAGAAGGTAAAGCACTGCAAGTGAGCAATGGGCCATCATCTTGAACAAACACACCTTCTGTGATACAGGAGCTTAAATTTAAAGTTTTAAAAACTGTTACAAATGTAACAATATATAGCAACTGTATTCAGATTGTTACTGCAAGTGGAGCCACAAATGTGATCAAATGTAGTAAAAAATGATACAGGAAAACTGAAAGGGAGAACAGAAAGTGGGAAATTCCTGTGAAACAGAGAGACCATCCCATATAAATAGACTGCACCTATGGAGGAAGGACACTCACACTGCAGACTTTTGGAGACTTTGCTCTACCGTGCAGGTAACAGACAACACCGTTCCGGTTCTCATCATGGCCAGCTGGTATATCCTCCAAATCGCTCTCCTGCTGTCCTTCACCACATCTCTTTCCTTAAGCTACGACTTGCTTCAACTCCAGCAACAACAACAACGCAGCAGTTTGGCCTGTCTGAAACTTCTGAGGCAGGTGAAAGGAAAGCCTGGAAATTGCCACCAGGACAGGATCGATTTCAAGTTTCCAGAAGAGATCTTGCAACCACAGCAGTTCCAGAAGGAGAAGGCTGCTCTTGTCATCCAAGAGATGCTTCAGAACGTCTTGGGTATTTTCAGAAAAAACATTTCCACCACTGTATGGAATGAGACCATTGTGGAGAACCTCACTGATGAACTCCATCAGCAAATGGATCATCTGAAGTCAACGATCCTGCAGGAAAGACTGGAGGACAAAAACATGACCATGAGGGATACCATGACCACTCTGCGTTTGAAGAGCTATTACTGGAGGATCAGCAAGTACCTCAGAGCCAAGAAGAACAGCATTTGTGCCTGGACAGTAGTCCAGGCAGAACTCATCAGGAACTTTTCCATCATTAACAGACTTACAAATTACTTCCGAGACTGAAGATCCGCCAGGCTGGTCCCTGGGACGGGACAGTACCTTCAGGAATTTTCATTCAGTGACTGGCAACAAATGCACTGCATTTGAAAGGACAGTAGAAGAGTTGGAAATAATTTATTAATTTATAAATTAAGTTATTTGTATTTATTTGTTTACTTTGGAAAATAAATTATTTATGACACAAGGACAAAACAGAAGTCTCACATTCAATTAAATTTATGCAGCCACTGATGTTAACAATTGCTGAGCAGCTAGTAGATGTTCTTTATTAAAAGTGCCTGAAAAGTAGGAAAGTTTCAGGCCCTTGTCTTTGAGGAATTTAAATCCAAGAAAGCAAAATCAAATATACAAGGCAAGAGATAATAAAGGGACCTAAACTTTCTAGGAAAATCAGTGTGACAGGAAGTGTTATGGATTGGAAGTGAAGGGGGCAACACAGCTTCATAGATAGAATTAACCCAGAGAAGACACTGGAGTAGGTGTGAGGACAGTAACAGGACACCAGGAAATCCACTGTCTTTCTACTGAGGAGTCAAATTCTTTCTCTCTCTCTTTTTTTTTTTTTTTTGTTTAGTTTTTTATCAGAGTCAGATTTGCCGTCATTTTCTCTTGCTTCAGTCCACTCAAATGCAGTGATAGCTTTCAAGGAATGTTCAGTGCAGAAGTGAAAAATGATTCAGTAACAAATCCTGAAATTAATGACTCAGGACCTCCGTGTTTTCACTGCTAATATGTTATTTAGCTGTAAACTTAAGATAAAAGTAATTGAGAAAGCAACAAAATACTACCCAGAAAAAAAAAAACTTGATCAAAAATGTCTCAATGATACTTTAAAGTTTCTGAAGCCACTTTTTTTCCTTAAGGCTAATGTTATTGAGCATCATGTATGGGATGTACTTGCCCCACATTTGCTCTGGACAATGATGAGCTCAGAAGCTGAGTTGAAGTGCAATCACCTCAGGCACAGGTCAAGGTGGAGATGGAACAGATGTTAGTGATTCACAAGTGGAGGAGGGTTATCTAGAAATGCCATTGGATATTTGCTGGGTGCCTGGCTTTTCTATATTCGCATACATCTCTCCTGCGGTTTAAAGCAACTGAGATATGGAACATCATTATATTTAATGTATCAATTTCTCCCTTGTTCTTCTTTGGGGAGTAAAACAGGTAACTCATTCACCCATCTTGAAAACATTACTATTGATAATACAAGGATTCCTAGTAATGCTGGCCGGAATAACTTACTTTCTGTCATTTTCACACTCCTTTCCTTTAGGAGTCTGAAAACACATTACCTTTGTTGTAAAGATGGACGTTATGAGACTTCTGTATTAACCCTACAATTTTCCTAGAACTACGAATATTTCAAACTCATATGCATCTAAAAATAACCAAAGTCATAAAAAAGTCACACTTCCCCTACAGTAGGAAAATAGGGAACTGGATCTAAGAATTTCTCCCTCAGTACACGAGCAGAGGCTCTCAGAAGACCTGAAAATACAACATGAAAAACGCATATCCGGAGAAACTGTCCAAGTGAAACGAGAGTTAAAAATTGAAACAAAACCCACATCATAAAAAGGACAAAGTTCACCCTCACACAGAACACACTTTCTCAGCACACGCCTTTGGGCGCCAGTGAAGACCCTGGGCACAGGGCTCTAAGCCTTCTCTCTGCAGCCCTCAGCCTCACCCTGGCTTCTGCAGCCCTGAGCCCAGGTCCCTAAAGGAAGCCCCGCCCCCTCCAAGCCCAGTAACCTTGTCTGAGGAGGCGCCTGAGTCTTGAGAAGCTGAGGGCGGTCCTGTCAGTTCTCTTGTCCTCACAACGTTGAGCTCCAAATCCCCCTGGAGTCCTCTTCCTCGCCCTCCCCACCCCCTTCCCGCCCCCGCAGCCCCCTTTCCCGTCGCCACCACCGCCCGGGCGCCCCGCGCGCCCTCCACGCTGCAGCCCGCGCTCTCGGAGCCCCGCGCCCTCGGGAAAGCGCTCCGGGCCAGGAAAAGGTTCCTCCTCAGAGAGGTCCCGGAGACGCCGCCCGGGCCCAGCCCAGCCGGTGCTGCGGCTGAGCCGCCACTGGGCCCGCTGCGGGCGCCCGGTCCCTCTGACTCACTGCTTCAGCCCCGAACCTGACGGAGGAGCCGCGCAGGGGTCTCGCTGGCAGCTGCACCCGCGGAAACCGCGGCCTAGCAGCGCAGCTTCCCACTTCCCTCGGGGCCCACAGCTCCGCCCTCCCCCACCCAGGCCGCTGCCTCCTGCGGCGGTGCCCGCGCGCCCCCTCGCGGCCGCCCGCTGAAGCGCGGAGCACACAGCCCCACAGCTGTCTTCTGAGGGCAGCAGGGAAGGAAGCCTGCTGCAGCCCTGCCTGCTCACTTGCCTGGAGCCTGCCCTGGGGGCTGCAAATCAGGGAAGCAGGTCTGCTCCTATGGAGCTGCTAGGGATCCCGCCTCAGAAATGCCTAAAGGGCACAACGGGCTTCTACTCGCCTTGGAAAAAAGGAGATACTTTCCTGGCAGTCAACAAGACACCAGCCAACTGAGCCAGCAGATCTCCCATCTCATCTGCCAGGAGAACAAGCTTGCTGCTGGGGCTGAGGTGGTGTATGAGCTACACTTCGCGAACCTTGCTCACATGCGGGACCACAAGCAGAAACTCGGTTTCTCAATATTTGGGATTTGCTGTCCTGAAAAATTTGAAAGGAATCATCTGTGCCTTTAACAAAAAAGGTACACAGTTCCTGGCCTCGGGAGAGTGACAGAGAAGACATTCCTCACAGCTTCTCTCTCCTTAGCAGTTCCCTGGGAAAAGTCAGCAAGTGAAGAAGCAAGCTCAATTCTTGACTCTACCCTGCCATCAGTTTGCTAAGGCCCAAAGGTTTACTTGACTCAGGTTTTGTTGCAGCTGAAATATATCTGAAATCAAATCATAACATTGTTTGTACCGTATACTGTGCATTATTCATTATTGATAAAAAAATTGTCATAGGAGGAAGACGTTTTGTTTTATTACAGTTTGTAATGGTTTATATGTTGAAATTCTTGAACAGTTGTTTCCAGTTTCCCACACTTTATATTTTTCATACAAAGATTTTTCAAGATGTTATTTTTAAAAACACCTTTATCCTTTAAGTTGATGCTCCATTAATTAACATGTAAATACTACCAGTAATTAGAACACAATGTACATTGGTCTTTCCTTCATATTAGAGTTCAATACAGCAATTCCTGATCACATCAGTTGTTATTTGGCCTACCTTACACTGTAATTCCATTTGAGTACTGTCTAGATTTTGGCCTTGAAATCTTCAACATATGTCTGCAAATGTTTCCATGGTGTTTGAGTCTAATCTAATAAGTTACAGAGGGGAAAATTATAGTAAATTACAAGGATTTTTTTCATGGGCCTAACTCTAGGCAAAAACAATCACTTCCACCCATCCTTAACAAGTCTAGATATATAGTCCAGATTTGCCAAAAAATTTAAAAGGAATTCTCTATGGGCACCTTGTGGGAACAAAGCGCTAATTCTTTGAGTAAGGCTATCTTTCATTATACATTAAATGCACCAAGGCTATTTTTAATAGGAAAAAGTAACTCAACTTATTTTAGCATTCATTTTATAAAAATAACTCTCAAAGTTTAATTCTGCAGTGTATATGCGGAACATGTTTCATTTTTTTTCTGTTACCAGCATCATGAATACAGCTATAAGTAGGGAGAGAAGGTCTTGAAAAATATAAAATTAGACTTCTGTGGTTAACAACTGAAGAAATGGGGAAAGCATGATCATGTGGCTTCTTGTAGATCCTTCAGGATCATTTTCACAAAAAGGCAAAATGAGTCTTTGGTGTCTTGCCAAGTTGTTGTTTCTTATACTGATATGCTAAGTAACACAGAAACTTGATAAAAATGTTCCCAGACTTACATATTTTCTCATTTTTCCTAAATACTCAACACACTCTTGTAACAAAACTTTCTATGATGAAGCTTGATGAATTTAAAAATAACTTTACATCTGTTGTCCTTTCACCTCTGTGTGTTGTACTTAGTGGTATAGCATTTAACAATTATTGTTCCTTTCACATATATTGACTTGTGTAATCATAGTACTCTGGGAGGCTGAGGTAGGTGGATTGGAAATTCAGGTTCAAACTGAGAAACTTAGAAGTTTAGTGAGGTCATGTTTCAAAATAAAAAATAAACCAAGTCCTGGTGATAGAACTCATTGTAAAGGCTCTGGTTCAATCCCCCAGTACCACAAGAAAATTATGAGTCAGTTCCTGAATTGATAAGGACTTGGCTGATGCACATAAATTGGATGAGAAGATTTTTTTCTGTCTATAGTTATCACAAAAGTTCCTGGAGAAGTATTTTTAAAAGGAAACAGTTCAGCTATACAAAGTCATATCTCTGGCAGCTAGAAAAGTGAATATAGCCATGTATAAAGAAATATGAGGCCATTTTTAGGTAAAAACCATTGGTTTTTCAATTCAGATTAACATGTAAGTATTACATGCCAAATTTTGAAAAATCAAATGTAAATAAAGACCTCTATTCCATATGAATGGATGTAGACAGAAGTACCAAATGTTTATTCACCATTCGTTTGTGTGAAGAGACCCCACACCATCAAAGAATATTGCTGCAGTTATCACAGGAATCAAGATTTAACTAAAACAAAAAGCCAATAAAAAGTCAAGAGCACATTAGCTCTTTTTCTATGCTAATTATTGTAAAACTATTTTCTACCACCCAAAACACTCTTTTTTCCCCCCGAATTCTTCTTTGGTTCTGTCATTACATCACCCTGTATTGCGTACCAAATCCTCAAAATAAATCAGTGTAATCAACCCCAGTAGCCAAACCTACCTGCCTGCAAATAAGAGGTACCAAGCAGCGGAGTAGGCAGGTGACCTCTAGCGTGTGTGTCATCTGAGTCATCCTCTTGTAACACGCTGGACTCTCCTCATTTCTCCAAATCTCCTTCCATTTCCACATCACTAATCCATTCAGTGAGCCCTTCCAGCTCTGAGCTCTGAGCCTCAGTTCCTTGGTTCCATTTTATTTAGGTCCTTGGTTTCATTTTGCTACAGTCCATGCCTTAAGGCATATATCTAGGGTACCCGAAGTGTTTAACAAATAAATATATTCAACTTTATGAAGATAAATTCTCAAGAAGATGAAAACTAGAAAATAATCCATATCAGAAAAATAGACAAAGTTAGTGACTAAGTAACATGTCTGCCTTAAGCAAATCAGACTTAGTGGAGGAAAGTAAAGAGTTGGAGAGAAAGAATCTGCCATTCTACAGGCAGGAGTCAACTTACTGGAAAATACAGATCAGCCTACAGTCAGCTCTGTTCTTATGGCCGGAAATATCAGTGGAGAGCAGCTAAAAGCTGAAAATTTAGAGTGGGACTTTGGAGTCATCAGTGGCTCCACAGTTCGTGAGATCCTTGTGATTTTGCTTTTCCTGTTGTAAACAGAATGAGAGTGGAAGGTCTCCATGTCCTCCTTACTCACTGATGTCTTCAGTGGCTTCATGGGTCTGGGCACAGAAATTTTTAATAGATATGAAAAGGTCCAGCAGTGGTGGTGAACTTAAGGCATATGTTACTTGTTTTTCTTTTAAGACAAAGGACATTAATGTATGAGTTATTTTTTTCTGAGCTAAAACCTCAGTATTCAGGTTTAATTGTAGTGTTAACACTTTGTGATAAATATGTGGGTTTTAGGTTGCAGTTTGGGCACTTGTCTTTAAAAGATTTGCCATCACTGAGGTAGGGTATTTTCAAATGAGGATTGATTGTCTAAGTATTAAGAACGGTATCTAACTTACAATAATAAGCACTGTATATAATTTATGATTTATTCTTTTTATTAATATTACCTCTATCATCTAAATATACTATGTTAAGGAAAGTGTCCTTTAAAATAATCATTTTCCAGTGGTGTAGCTAGGGTTCATGCAGCTCAGGGTGGTACTACAATTTGTCACCCTCCAACATCTCCAAACATGTTAACTTACTTAAATAGAAAATTAAAATGATTTATGAAAAAACTGTGGATAATTTTTTCGATTATTTATTAAATAAAATTATAGTAACCTACAATGTTACGTAAAGTAGAAGATTAAAAATTCAGTGTATTTGAATCTCTACCCTATTAAAATGGAGTAAATTCTTACAATATAATTTTTCTCTTGGTCAATAACACCACCCAAATGTATGCAGTCTGGGGGATGGGCCACCCTACTCTACCCTAGCTATGCCACCATCATTGCCTTTGCTTTCCCCTGATATGGCGAGAGGAATACTTATCTTCCTAGTTTATGTATCTAATAGGACAGATCTTAATGGAGTTAACACTTGTTCCTTACCCAGAGAAAATGCTGGGCTCTCACGAATTTGCCTTTTTTGTATATAGTATGGAGATCTAGTTGTTATGCCTTCCTTGACTCTCTATGATGACAGAATGCAGCAAAGCTGAAAACAACCTTTGGACTAGGGAATAATAATTTCTCTTTGAGCCTGGCCTGATTGCTAGCTTTATGTAATCCCTTTAACCATCTTGCTCTGCTCTGTACCTGATATACATATACATAAATATATTACATAGAGATGATACCTTATAAGTCATATCCAGGCCAATGGATTTTAATTAGAACCAAATTTAGGAAAACACCCTGAATCTAACTGTATACATCATGTGCAGTGAAGGCAATGATGAAAATGAAGTGGGAGAGAAACTTCACTCAAAACCCCAGTAGAGAAAGCAAAAAGGAACAGGAAAACAAAAGTAGAAAATAAAGGAAGAACATTCAGAAAATGAAGCTGGTATGTTCCCTATTTAAGTCATCTTAACACACCAGGTCTTCAGAGAACCACAGGCAAAGGTTCAGGATCACACATCCATCTCAAGCAGCCAAGCAGCATCAGCAGGATCCCACGGCCTGGCCATTGACTGGATTGGTGGCCCTGCCTGTGCTGACTATCATGGCATCGTGCTCTCTGGCCTGCACCCTGCCTCAGATCTACATCCAGGGGAACACAAGAGCCTTGAGTCTTCTGGGACAAATGAGGAGAACCTTTCTCCTCACTTTCTCCTGCCTAAAGCACAGACAGGACTTTGGTTTGGCCCAGTTGGAGTTTGATGGCAAGCAGGTCCAGAAGGCTCAGGCCCTCTCTGTCCTCCATGAGATGACCAGGCAGACCTTCAACCTCTTCACATCAGAAGACTCATCAGCTGCCTGGAACCAGAGTCTCCTTGACACCTTCTGCACAGGCCTCCATCAGCAGCTGAATGATCTGCAGGCCTGCCTGACCCAGGAAACAGGAATGGAAGAGCCTGTCCTGATGCATGAGGACTCCAGACTGGCTGTGAGGAAGTACTTCCACAGGATCGCTGTCTACCTGAAGGAGAAGAGCTACAGCCCTTGTGCCTGGGAGGTGGTCAGAGCAGAAATCGTCAGACTCTTCTTTTCATCAGAAAAACTTACCACAAAGATGAAGCACTAAGAAAGGAGTCCAGATTTAACATGGAGATGGTTCTCATCAAGCATATCAAATTTTCACAGTTCTGCCATTTCAAGACTATCTGGAACACAGAAACAGTTTTGAAACAGTTTTGTTTCAATCATAACTATTTTATTTTTGCCCTCTTATCAGGATTACTGACCAATATTGTGTTCCACTCTACAAGAAGTTGCCCTTCCAGTTGTCCTTGTAAAGATACACACATCTATTTATTTGTCTACTTTAATATTTATTTAAACTTTTTATAAGATTTAAATTTTAAGGGGCTGGGGATTTAGCTCAGTGGCATAAGTACCTGTCTTGCAAGTAGGCAGTCGTGAGTTCGATCCCTGGTACCGATAAAAATGAAAAAGACAAAAAAAAAAAAAAAAGATTTAAATTTTATTTGTTCACACAATGTTATGCATACATTTAAATTGTGGTTAATAAAATATATTCTTTATATTTATTCAACTTGTCATTTTGCTACTTGACTAAATTTGTATCATAGAAAACTTTCTTGCATGTGTCTCTTCTTTTAAAAATTACTCCAAGCTTTAGTGTGCAATCTTATCAAAGCACAGAAATTGGTTCAAATTACTCATTATTATCAAACTCAAAGCATTAGGAAATCTAAACTTCTACTAAACTTAGCAGGAGTACTCATGCAGCATATGTGAGACTCTGTGTTTCAACCCCAGAACTTCATAAAACTAAAAATAAAATCACATTTCCCAGATTTTTGCAGATAAACCTAAAAATAGCAATCATAGTTAATATCATTCATGTGAATTGCTACACTGAAAAAAAGGAAAAGCCAATAAAATTTTCTTAGGTAAAGTGGATTGAAGCCTGTTAGGTCATAAAAGTGAAAACTCAAAATAGATTAGTAGCCATTTAAGTCAAATATCCATTGTTATTTGAATGCATGACTTTGAAATGTACAAGAAGTAAGTTGCCAGAAATTCTTGTGTGGCCACTGAAATCCCAGCAATGGAGATGCTTATGTGGGGAGACTTGAGAGAGAGAAAAAGATTCAAACTGGGTGCAGAAGGATGTACATCTTTACAGAGAAGAAAAAGAACCACCACAAAGAAAACAATGTGAAAAAGCCTTACATTAGAAAGATAACAAGACACAGTGGTGATAAAAGTGTTTTTAGGAGCTAGGTGTGGTGGCATACCTGTAATCCCACAGCACTCAGGAAGCTGAGGCAGGAGGGTGGCCATGAGTTCAAGGCCAGCCTGGGCTGCACAGCAAGACATTATCTCAAACAAACAAACTAATTAACTAATTAACTAACTAACAAGTATACTTAAAGAAACACACCTGCTTAGGAGAGGAATTTTTAGAACCACATAAAGTGTGGATTGAGTGCTTGACAGTGCATATATTAAATGTTAGAACAATAAAGTGTGGATTGAAATTGCCAACTGCAGTTTTTCGTTTTGCCTAACACTCCACTCACACAGGGCTAATTTCTGTTCATGTGCACCCTAATTTAGAGGTTTCTGTGTCCTGACTGTACTAGGTGGAGACCACACCAGGCACAAACTTTCTTCTGCTGAAAATACTCAAATGGCTTGTCAGAAACAGGGTGTGGCTGAAAGAGTCAATTGGATGCCTGCCTGGCAAGTGCGTGGTCATGAGTTCAATCCCCGGTACCAAAAAAAAAAAAAAAAACAGTCAATTAGAGATCATGGAACAAGGACACAGCTGATTAAAGTGTCCACCAGAATAATGATAGAGTCCCAGGAAATGACATCAGTTAAGTTAGTTTTTCTGTTAGACCATAAAATCTGAATTTTGGATTTAGAATCCTTCAGCTTCTCTCCCAAAATAGAAGGTAAACATGACTGACATAGATTTGGGAAGCACAGAGGTCTCCCTGAGGAATATGGGGAACAAGAGTGCCCAGCATGGTTGTCACTGAGACTTCTTCACCTTGAACACTGTTGAAGACAGTGCATCTCAAGTAATCTTAAATTCTGATAACGATGCAGATTCTTTTGAAAATCAACAGTGTAAAAACAATACAAATAATGGGAACATTAACAGGGTCTGAGCATTTGAGTAATTGAGAAAAAAGAGCCTTTTTAGGAAGATACAATTAGTAATGTGTATATTGGAAGATCCCAATTTCTCATGGGAAAAACCTTTATGAATTTTTTTAACCTTTGTTCACTGAAACAAGGACCCTGATGGATCAATTGTCTTCTTTCTTTGCAGTCCATGCATTCTGCACTGACTTAAAAAATGGGGACCCTTCCTGAAGATTACTGCTCTACATAAACACACCTGCATAAGTAACAAATTAGAATTCTTCATCATGAATGGTATTGCTAAAGAGCTACTATATCTTAGTCTGTGAATGTTCACCATAACTACGATGATGATGGATCTTTAATAAATAAAATAAAAAGGAGATTTTTTAAAAAGCTCATTTCTTGTCTTAGAAAACTCCAGTGAAGCCCACTAAAGGGCCATCATGGGCCCCACTTGCTGTGATTCCTTAGGAAGCAAGCCCTTCCAGCTCTGAAGGGTCTGGGATGGCATTTTAATGATCCAACAGCTTTTGAGGCCCTGACACATTGTGTTGATTCTGGACTGGAGAAAAAGCTGCGTGTCATTCTGTGGGTCATTTGTGTTTGTGGAAACAAGGACTTATGCCAGTATCTCAGCAACGACTGGGTTTTTATTTCACATTTGCTATATATTTGCCAAACCAAAATGACATCTTTAAAGCTTAAGCAATATAGAGAACATAGACACCATGTAGTTTGGAAAACCGCCTGTTTTGATGCCAACCATCAAACCATATTAGCTTAGATTACCATGCTAATACAATTTGTCTCGTGGTGAAGCCAACCCTAGTTGGTTAAGTAGCCCTGTAAGGGGCTAACCTCAGCTTAAAAGCAACTGTTAATAGGAATCTATTTTATGAACTTTTGGAATTGAATTCAAGCCTCTAATATAGGATTTTGTTTAAAAGCCCTAGTCTGGCATTTCCTCCCTGAGCTTGTAGGGGTTAGTGAAAACATTCGTAGGGCTGTTGTATTAAATATATACATACGTTTTAAAGAATGTACGGTGTACCTTCCAGTGAGTGAGTTATTGGTGTACAGTAGCTATCTTCTTATTTTTATATGCAGATCGACCTCGGGATACTATTTGTGTATTAAGCCTCGTGAAGTTGTCCTACCACTTGTTAGAAAATGTTGTCCAAAGCAGGAATTCTGTGGACTTAAGGGAGAAGTCTTGGAAACCATGGAAAAACTGTCATTCTCCTGTCAGAGCAGTGACTGAATGATGCCTGTGGCCAGCAGGGATGCGAACCTCTGGGCAGAGAGTCCTGGCCAGTGCAGAGTGAAGACCCGGTGCTTGCCAGCAGGGCTCCTGGCCCTGCCTCTCCGAATCAGCCGCGCCCTCTCGGCAGCGCAGCGCCTCCCTGCGCCACCTGCCCATCCACGCTGGGTGTCTGGTTCTCCAATGGTTCCTGGCCTGCAGATTTCTACAGGGAACGTCACAAGAAGAAAACAAAGTTAAATGAGCCCTCTAGGCTTTTCAAAACCGCGGTAACAGATTCGTATCTGTGTGTTTCCTGAGCCCTATTTCGGAGGTTTTAGGGAATGTCCCTGTTACAATGATGTAACAAAACCTAAAAGTGAAAGAGATCCTCTAAATCCTGTTTCCCAAACCGGCTCACAGAACGAAGACGCGGATTTGTGCCCCCTGCCGGCCACGCGTCGCAAGGGCGGAGAACTGTGGAGTACAAGCTTCGACACCTGCGGTGGGTTTATCTCCCAAAGAAAAGCAGACGTAGCACTTGAACGCTGCAGTTCTAGCTTGAGACAAGGTTTGTCCTTTTTTGGACATGCAGCCATGGAGAGAAAGGAGCTTGCATGTACTTCCAGGACTCCATCCTGCCGTGCAGTCATAAACACCTGAGAGTGCTCTGGTAGCCTCATGGCCGTTGCCTCTTAGGGTGTTTGCTGGTTTTCAAGGAAACAGTCACTTCAAAATTCTCTGTCTTTAGGCGGGCTTGGTGGTACACACCTGTAATTCCAATACGCAGGAGGCTGAATCAGGAAGCCTGCCACCACTCTGGACTACATAAGCAAGTTCAAGGCCAGCCTGCACTACTACGTTTTATAAGATCTGTCTTTAAAAAAACAAGTATCTCTGACTTTGATTTTTTTGACAAAATTGATTGCAATGTGTCCCTTAATTATAGTAATATCTTCTATGGAATGTGTAGGTAGGGAACTTCGTCACTGAGCAAATATAGACAATATTTGTACAAACCAGATACATGCCTTACCACACATCTCAACTGTAGGAAATAGCTACCACACCCAGGCTACAAACCAGTACATAATTTTACTGTGCTGGATACTACAAACAATTGTAACACAATGCTATTTAAATATACTTAAGCACAGACAAGGTATAAAAATGTACTGTAAAGATTTCTAGAAAAGTGTGCCTGCACAGGACATGAACTGAGCCTGCAGTAATGAAGTCCATCTGAGTCAGTGAGACAGAGATGGATCATGTGCAGATTTGGGACATCTCCGCATCCTAAATGTTGTACACTAGGGCCACACTCAATTTATCAATTTTATCAGTCCAGCAATAATTCAACCTTTGTTTCCTGTAACTTTTTACTTTATAATATTTTAAATATTTTTAATCTTTTGACACTAGTGTAACACAAGTTAAAACAGAAACACATTATACAAAAAATGAAGATGTACAAGAATATTTCTGTAAACATTCTTATTCTGTAAGCCTTTTTTCTAATTTTTCCTTTTTAAACTTTTTTTGTTAAAGGCACAAACACATATTACCATAGGTCTATGTGGGGTCATTGTCTGCTGCTCCAATATCTTGATCCATAAAAGTTGTTCAGGGACAATAACACGATGGAACATCTCCTGTGATAACTGTGCCTTCTTCTGTAATGGTAAAGGCCTGCCCGAGCCTCTCTTTTAAGGAGTTATCACTCTTTCCAGAAATATATCCATGGTGGTTTTATTTATTTTTTGATATTTGGTTCTTAAATGTCCCCCAAAATCTCATGTGTTGAAGCCTTGGTCTCTAAGGCATTCAGGTTCAAAGATGGGGCCTTTAAAGGTGATCAGGACATAAGATCTCAAAACTCATTAGTGGATT